ATTTTTTAGGTGTAGACAGACACAACACCATGCCTTTAGTTTTATGTGGTGCTGAGGATCGAACCTGGGCCCCGCCTATGCTAGGCGAGCGCTCTGCCGCTGAGCCACAATCTCAGCCCTTTTTTTTCCTTTTAAAAGCTGAATAATATTCTATCATGTGCACCGTGGCCTTCCTTACTGGTACATTCTGTATCTGTAGATCCAACCAACCAAAGACAGAAAACATCTGGAAAAATAATTGCATCTGTGCTGAACATGGACAGAATTTTCTCCTGTCTTTATTCCCTAAACAAATATGCATAGCAACTATTTACATAGTATTTACATTGTTTTGGGTATTATAAGAAATCTAGAGGACTGGGGATGTGGCTGAAGCGGTAGGCTGCTCGCCTGGCATGCGTGTGGCCCGGGTTCGATCCTCAGCACCACATACAAACAAAGATGTTGTGTCCGCCGAAAATTAAAAAATAAATATTTAAAAAATTATCTCTCTCTCTCTCTCTTTAAAAAAAATAAATCTAGAAATGATTTAAATCATACAGGAGGTGTGTGCATACTATGTGCCAATACTATACATAAAGGACTTGAGCATTCACAGATTTTGATCTCTGAGGAGGGTCCTGGAACAAATCCCCCGAGAATGTCAAGGGTGTACTGCATATACCACATTGTGTTTGTCCATTTATCCATCCGTGGACACTTGGGTCGCTTCCACACTTTAGCTACTGTGAATAATGCTGCCCTGAAGGTGGATGTATGTCTTAGTTCACTTTCTGTTGCTGTAACTGAATACCACAGACTGGGTACTATTTATAAAGAAGAAAGGTTTTTCCAGCTCATGGTTGTAGAGGCTGGGAGATAAAAGGGCCACATATAATAAAGGTTTTCTCTCTGGTGGGGACTCTCTCTAGTCCCAAAGTAGTGCAGGAGAGCATCACATGTGAGACAGAAGGTCCTAGATTAGGTCTCTCCTCTCATAAAGCCAGTCCCACCACCCTGATGGCCTCATTTAACCTCATAACCTCCCAGAGGTCCCACCTCCATACACCACAGTCGGACGGAGTTTTCACCATCTTAATGCTCCGCGATGGAGATTAAATTTCAACGTGAGTTTGGGTGACAGACACTCAAGCCAGAGCAGCACACGCACATTGATTCCTTGTTAATTAATTTGTTATCATCTGTGTGTGTTCGTGTTGTTCAAATGGGATTATTCTGCACTTCCTGCTTAGGAAAGGGCCTTCTTCAATTTTCCAATATGCCAGGAGCATTTTTCCATGAAATTAAATATTCTTCTACCTCATCTTTCTGAGCCACCAAATGGTGTTTTTATAATGGATGGGCCGGAATCTGTTCACCCCACCCCTCCCCTGGGCGCGCACGTGTTCTCCAATTGTTAAATATACCGGCCGAGTGAGTAGTTCAGCCCTCTCTGAATGCCCAGCCCTGCAGAGGCAGAGGACACGGTCTGGTGGGGCGGAGTGGTACCCAAGGCCTCCTCCTGGCACCAGGACTTCACCCACGAGACGCCATCCTCGGGGAGGTGAGGAGAGCGGAGCCCTGCCTGGGCACTTCCAGGAGAGCTGGGGACCACGGTGTTGGAGACAGAGGCTGGGGGTGGCTGCGGGTCCTGCCATCTGGTAGCTCTTCAGAGGCTTCTCTGAGCCTCAGTTTCCTTTTGGGGAAATGAGGAGAATTTTGGCCCCTTGGTATTTATTTTTGAGATTGGACCAGAAAAAAAATACACGCGCAGATGTCCGATGTCCAGCATGAAGTCCTGATGGACGCATCAGATGCATATATCAAAATGGCTAAATGGTTAAGTCAGGCTGTATGTGTCACCTCGTGTGTGTGTGTGTGTGTGTGTGTGTGCACTCTGTTCTCTTTGCAGTTTTCAAGTACACAACACATTGCTACTAACAAAAGTGACCTTGCAGTACAGCAGAGCTCCTGAGCTCCTCCGGCTTTTGCTTTGGGGTGGGGGGGGGGGCTCCCTGCTGTTTTACATAATGGCCACGGTGCTGATTTAGACCCCCACCAGCCCCCACGGTGACTACTGTGTGGTGGAGTCTGCACCTGCTGACTGACGGTCCTTCTAAGACTCACGAGGTGGCATCTCACGGTGGTTCTCACTTGCAGTTCTGATGACCAGTGGTCAGCCTCTTGTCCTGTCTGTGGGTTTTCAGGTCTTCTCGTGACAAATGCTCACCCAGGTCTTCTGCCGTGTTTTAATTGGGTCTTTGCTTTCTTGCCGCCAAGCCGAGTTCCTCGTGTATTTTGGAGACTGACCCCTATCCAATGTGAACGTTGGTCTCCTCGTCGTTTTCTCTCGTTCCACGGGTTCTCTCTCCTCTGTGGGTGGTTTTCTTGGCTCTGCAGAAGCCTTTGGATCTCATGGGATTCCATTTATCTCTTGTTTTTCTTTCATGCCTGGGTTTTCAAGGTCATATCCAAAAAGATAAATCTCTGCCCGTGCCCATGTCACGGAGCGTCCCTGTTTTCCCCTAGTGGTTTCATAGTTTCGGGTCGTTTTCTGTTGACTTGGGTCGCGATAAGAGTCCGATTCCGTCCTTCTGCAGGTGGGGTCCAGTTTTCAACACTATTTACCGGGTCCTCGGCCTCTTGGCGTCCGACTGTGAATTCTGGTTAAATAAGATGGACTGAGCACATAAGCTCTGCTCCCCTCCTGACACCCCACGAACACGAAGGCAGAGGGGTTATTTTTGATGCACAAAACCACAACACTAATTGGCACAGAAGAGGAGAGAACAGACATTTGGAAGATAGAAGAGCAGACCGATGGGCTGCACCCCTAAAATACCAATGAGGAAAGCTGGAAATACCCCGACGTCTCGCCACGGACCCCACAAGAGGCTCAGCGGTCATCTTCATGGACCAGGGTGAGGACGGGGTGGTGCACGTCTGTAACGCCAGTGACTGGGGAGGCTGAGGCAGGAGGATCACAAGTTTGAGGCCAGCCTGGGCCACTTAGCAAGACCCTGTCTGAAAATACACAATAACAAGGGCCGGGAGGTAGCTCCGTGGTGGGGTGTCTCTGCGCTCAGTCCCCAGTTCTGGAAAAAGAGAGGAAGAGCCAAGGCAAGGAGACGCCAAAGGCAGACGCGCCTTCCCTTCGCGCCCTTCCTGGCTGTGTGCCCCCTTCCTGCTTCGGGGTCTGGGACAGAGGTGGGCCTGTGTGGCCTGCTCGGCTCCTGCCCTGCACCGGGCACTCCATTGGCCCCAGTGTCGGGAGGGAAGGGGATGGACTCAGGAGTCAGCGAAGCAGGTCTGTCCAGGATGTGGCCTGGCGTGGCGAGCTGGAGACACGTGCCAGGCCCCGGGCCGGGGTCTGGAGGCTGCTCAGAACATCGGCTCTGACCCCCACATGGGGACGGCTCTGAGCTGACAGAGGCCTCCCCGCAGCCTCGCCCCAGCCGCCCCTGCCACCTCCCCGGCCACCTCCCAGCCTGGCTCCCCGTGCTTCCCTTTCCCCGCCCAGGTAGCCGCTGCCCCTCCAGCCCTGCTCCAGGCTGGCTCCTCCTCGCCCGCCCTGGGGGAAGTGCCGAGTCCTGGCCAGCGGGATCCCTCGTGGCTCTCCACGGCACCCGCCCTCAGGAACTCCTGCTCCCCACCTCTGTCACGTCAAGGGCTGCAGCTGGCACCTCCCAACTGTCGAGAAGAAGCAAGCTTCCAAGGGTCAAAGGGCAGAGCTCCGATGGTGGAAGGCTAGGCCACTGGACCGGCGTCTCCTGGGCAGGGGGTAGCTCCCCCTACGGGTAATGTCCACTGTCCCAGAGGGAGAACAGGGAGAGGGGTGTCCCGGTACTATTGGCCCCCCTGGAGTCAAATGCCTTCAGCAGATGCAAGTGTCCCTAGGGGACAAGGGCCGAATTATTTTGGGGTCATGTCCTCTGCCCTGAGGGTGGCCAGATATAACAAATAAAAATACTGGACAAGACGACCAGTTAAATTTGAATTTCAGATAAGCATCAAATAACTTTGTCTCTAAAGTAAGCTCCATGCAATGTTTGGAGACACACATACACTCACAGATTTCTCATTATTTAACCAATATTCAGATTTAACTGGGTTTCCTTATGTTTGACAGCTCTGCCTGCGGCTGACCGTCCCGCACCCGGGGTCTGGCCTGTATTAAACACTCATTGGAAGAGGCATTTGTCTCAGTTCTGAGCTAGGAGTGAAATCAGAACGCTGTGTCTCCTCAGGCCAGAGTGGACACTCTAGTTACGTCAGGTGAGTTTTAATTACCAAAATGAGACTGCTTACTTTAACCAAGAGGGACCAGAAACTCGGAGACCTGCCTGAGTCGTCAATCGGCATCCAAGAAGGGAAACCTGCCCCTCTACAGAGCCAGTCTGCAGACATGGGGAGAAAACAAGCTGGATTCCTGTGCATTCCAACCTGTTCCCATCCATTCACTCAACAAATATTGATTGCAGCCCTGTTGAGCCCCAGGCAGGGCTCCCTAAGCCCCTGAGGTGATTACTCTCAAGCTTCTCAATGTCCTTACTTGATGAAGAGAAAAACCGAGGCACAGAGAAGTTAGGTGAGTTGCCCAAGGTGACACAGCGGGTAGATGGTGCCCACATCTGACACGGGTGCCCTCGCTCTTACCCTGCCGCGTGACTCTACGGAGGTACCAGGCAGAGAGCAGGAGGAAGTAGCCAGACGGAGCTCACACAGAGAGCCTGCAGCCCCCGCCATCGCCCCTAAGAGCTTCTCTCCTAATATCTCTGAGCCGCCTGGTCCCCCCATCCCCCCCTTCCCACCCCTGCTCGGCTTCTGGTCAGCCGTGATCTCCCGGCTGGTCCATCTCTCTGGATCATGCCTGGGAACTAGTGTTTGACCACCTCTGGTGGTTGATGGACAGGGGGCTGGGCTCAGCTGTGTGGGGCTTCGGGGGCTACAGGCATCTGGGGGCTGGTGGCGCCGCCCCATGTGGCGCCCTCTCCTGGCGCTCAGTGCAGAGGCTGGCCTTTGCCGGAGTCCACCGGGCACATGCTGCAGCACCCACCTGTGGCTTCTCCATGTGCCGCGTCCTCTCAGGGCAACTGGAATCTGAGAGTGTCGCGAGAGTGAGCGTGCGGTAAGTGAGGGGCAGAAACTTCTAGCATTTCACCTGAGGGGAGACCATGTCGCGTGGTGGGAGCCCGTGGCCGAGCAGAGCCACTCATCATGGCCAGGAAGCAAGAAAGCAGAAGAGGAAGAGACTGGGTCCCACAACCCTGGTGGCCCAAAGCCCTCCCGCCAGGTCCCCCTCCTCAGGGCTCCACCATGTCCCAGCAGCCAAGTCGTTAACGCAGACCACTGGGGGACACTCAGCATCCAAACTACAGCAGGACCCAAGTCACGTCTGTACCCTGGCTTCAGAAAGGTCTGGGTTTTGGGTCCTATCAGGAAGGCACTTATGAAAGATGCTGAGCAAGCCCAACTGCAATAGCCCACAATCCCGGGCCTTCTTTCCCCTAGTAATTGTTCTGCTTCCTGTGGCTGCTACAGGGCCTTTGCACATGCTGTTCCCCCTCCTGCAATCTCTACCTCCCCTCTTACCCTCTTCTTTAGGATCCCAGCAGAGTATCTTTTCTGACCTTTCTCCTTTTCTTTTTCGTCCTGAGGATTGAATCCTGGGGCACTCTACCACTGAGCTACATCCCTACCACCTATTTTGTTGTTTTAAGATTTTTTAAAAGATGGACACAATATCTTTATTTTATTTAGTTTTATGTGGTGCTGAGGATTGAACCCAATGCCTCACGTGTGTGAGGTAAGTGCTCTATCACTGAGCTGTAAGCCCAGCCCTGACTTTTTTTTTTTTTAACTTTGAGATAGAGTCTCACCAAGTTGCCCAGGCTGGCCTTGATCTTGCGATCCCCCTGCCTCAGTCTCCTAAATCACTAGGATTACAGGCACGTGCCATCACATCTGGCCACCTGGCCGTTTGTCATCATTTTACATCTCCATTCTACAGACGAGGAAGCTGGGGGCCAGAGAGGTTAAGTGATCTGCTCAAGAGCACACAGTAAGCAGTACCTCTGGGATTCGAATCCTTGTGACTGACCCCAGAGCCTGTTCCTCACGCCATGTTCTTTAAGTTCACCTGTGTTTAAAGGCCAGGGCAGGGCATGAAGCTGCCCTGAAAACAAACACCACATCAAAACCTGTGGGCAAGCCGCCCAAACTCAGAATGATGGGAAGTGCAGGGGGAGGGTCCAGGCGAGGCTGCACGCTGGGCCAGGCGCTGGCCGTGCTCTAGAACACACCAGTGGTCTGAGTCCCACAGCCGAGCTTCAGGAGCCCCGGGGCCCTGTGTCGGGAGGTGGGGAGCCCCTGTCTTCTGGAGCGGGGGCCGGGATAGAGTCCGGGGTCAGGGGACATTCTTTTCAGTGGCAAATCTGGTTCTCTGACTTAAGCAGACAGACTTTTGTAGGACAGACAGACAGCTGCTGAGGACAGGGAGCCATCCTAAGGCAGGGACTGGGGCATAATGGTCCCCCTGCCTGCCTTCCCTCCGCAGCCGGGGACCAGGGAGGGGAGCCTAGGAACCCAGGGGATCACATATGATTAAAAATTTGATTAAAAAAGTGCAATTTCGCCTGAGTTCGTAAACAGTAAGTGGGCTCTCTGGCCCTCTCTACACTAGGTCTGGGAATCCCTGGGACAGAGGATTGGGGGCCCCTCCTCCCTGGCCACCAGAGCCCAGGCCCCTCGGAATCCAGCTGATGCTCAGCAAAGGGAACGAGACCAGGGGACCTGGAGCAGCGGCCCAGTCCTGCCACTTCCTCGCTGCGTGGCCTCGGGCAGGAAACTCCTCCTCCGACCTGCTGTACTAACTCCTCCTCCGACCTGCTGTACTGTACGCACAACCAGATGCTGCCTGAGAACAAAGGTCTAACTCATTTATTTTCTCTCGGCAGCAGGACCCTTGGTTCAAAAGACCCGTCCATGGTCCTGTCCTCTGGTCAGCCAGGGATGCCGGCACGGCCCTCCCACCCCTGCCGGGCCCATCTTGAGTGGACCACGGCTGAATCAGGTGACATCTGAGGACACTCGAGGCCCTGCCAGTTCAGAAGTCCGTGAGTAGTTGAGGGAACTGGAGGATTTGGAAAAGTGCGCAGACACTGTGACCAGGCCTCAGCCTGGGTCCTTGGTGGAGCGTTTTGCCGGCTCTGGACCTTGGTTTTCCCATCCAGAGAGCAAGCCTTGGCCTCGGTGGTCTCTGCCATCCCCTTCAGCTCTGAAAACCTAGGACTTTGGGGAGGCTGAGGCAGGAGGATCACAAGTTCAAGTGTGTTCAATCCTCAGCAAGTTAGCGAGGCCCTAGGCAACTTAGTGAGACCGTCTCTAAATAAAAGTAAAAACAGCTGGCGCTGGGGCTCAGTGGGAAGGTGCCCCTGGTTCAATCCCCAGGACCAAAAAAGAGAAAAAGAAAGAAAGAAAAGAAAATCTAGGACTCCTCCCTGGTAAGACCAAGGGAAAACAAGGCCCGTGGTGTGGAGAACCCGGGGGAGGGGGAGGGGGACAGCAAGGTGATTCTCCGAGGTTCCGTTTAGACACAACCCAGGGGGCAACTCAGGGACTGGGTCTTGTGAAAGGTAATGAGCCTCTGAATCAGAAATCAATGACCGAGGTCATAGCTATGGTTTTTGGTTTAGGAAAACAAGAAGAATCAGTAGCCGAGACTCTAACAGGTGGGACTCTGACATGTGGAATGAGTGGTGGGACACATGGGTGGGAGCCCCGGTGGCTGGAGAGACGGGTGATGGCCAGGTAGAGATGGGGAAGGACAGGGACGTTCCAGAGGGCGTTGGGTGGGCAGTGGGCACCCGTGTTTTGAGACAAACATCTGAGGAGGTGAACGAGGGTCAGTAATGGATTTGGGGTGAGCAGGCTAAGAAGGAACGGGGGGGGGGGGGGGGGGGGGGGGAGCGCGGGCGGGAGGAGGTGGGTTTGCAGCGGAGGGGCCGGGGGCGGGAGGGGGGACCTCATTATGGCCGATTTGGTTTTCTTGGCATCCACCCATTTCCCCTCCCTGCCCCACTCCCCTTCAGATCCGCTGTGACAGTATAGATGTGAGATGTCACCAAAAGCTCCCGAGAGTCTGCGAGAATGTTCTGGGGCAAACGTTTGGATCCTGAGAGCGCGGGGCAAACCAGTGGACTGAACCATTAGATGGATTAATAGTTTAAAGGCCTAACGGGGTGGTAACTGGAGGCCAGTGGGGGTGGCTGGAGGAAGTAGATGGGGGCCAGCCTCGGGGTTTATATTTGAAAGGAAAGTGACCACGACACTCGGAGTGACCAAGAGATCTTTATTGTGCCAATGTCTGATTAACAGGGAAGGAAGAGAAAAAGGGAGAGAGAAAGAGAGCAGGGAAAGAGGGGGGAGAGAGGGGGAGAGGGGAGAGTTTTTATAGCCAAATCTACTGGGCTCTCTGGGTCTGCAGGCCGCCTTGTTGGTGGACAGTGATTGGGTCACCAGGTGTCATCTTCTGCCTTCAGGCAGACGGGGCAGGGGTCAGATGTGGTCAGGTGGGGGTGGAGTGGGGTCAGTGGGGTGGAGTGTTCAGCCTTGAGGCGAACAAGCCATAATGAACCAGACGGTGAGGGTCAGTGTCCAGGCTGCCCTGCGGCTATCATTGTCCAGCCTGCCCTGCAACCAGCAGTATTCCCCCAGGCCTCTCTCTGCCTCTTCCTCCCACTCCCTCCTGGTGGCCTTGAACTGAGCAGCTTCCCTCCAACACCCTTCTGCCCTGAGGTTTGGCCCCCCTGGGGCCCAGAGCCTAGTCAGTCAACCAGGAGTCAAAGTAAACCTCTCCTCCTCCCAGTTGTTCCTGTGAGGTGCTTTGGTCACGGCAACAGAAAGCGGACTAACAGGACACCTGAGAGGGCTACAGAGAGTCTCACTCGTGTGTGTGGCTCTGAGCTCAGATCCTCCTGCCCCAGTCTCCCCAGCCACTGGGATCACAGGGGTGTGCCACCAGCTCCCTGGAGATCTGGGATGTGGCCTCCCAGGGGCCTTCCCTGGTCCTCCCCACTGGGCAGGGTGCAAAGCCTTTCCTCACTGCTCCCAGAGCCCCATGGTCCATCCAGAGAGGACGTGAGCCCGGGACTCAGTGGTCCACTGTCCCCTCCCTTATCCACCTGAAGGGCCTGAGTCACCTGAAGGGCCAGGTGATGCAGCAGGTGGGCGGACAGAGAAGTCAACATTCACGTTTATTTAAAATATTTTTAACAACAAAAATAATTATTTACTTTGTCTGACTTCCCCTCTAGACTGAAGGGGGAGCTGGATAGAGTAAGGAACAAGAAAGAAAAGAAAATGCCTCCCCAGTCCATGCACAGTGCTAGCTGGTTCTCAACCGTCCCCATGAGTCAGGCACGACAGGGTTGGGGTCTTAGAGAACAGAGGTGGGGATGGGGCCGGTGCTGTGTGTAGCCCGGGCCAGACAGCCCTCTCTGAACAGCATTTGTACAGAACCCTGTCGGCGGAGAGGGAAGAGGGACAGGACCCGGAGGTACAGCCCTGAGGAGCAGGTGAACTTGGTGGCTTTAAGGAGCACCCAGGGCGGGGGGCTCTGGGGCAGGGGAGCTTCCAGGCGGCAGGCTCTGGGGCTGGGGGTGCCCAGCAGACAGGAGCCCAGCCCAGACGCCGGCCTCTACAGAGGCTCTTCCTGTTAACATTGACCTTGGCTGGTTATTAACTGGGTCTATTAATAGACGCTGGTGGGCTTTTGCCTCCTCAGGAGTGACTTCGAGAAGCAGTGTCCCTCCCCTTGTTCTGCCTTGCACATGTGCAGTCCGGCTCACGGCCCCTCACCTGGTGTCACTGGCTGATGCCCCCCCCCACATGACCGCATGGGACCTGAGGAGAAGCAGGAGGCCCTGTAGCTTGGCGCCCCTGCCCCGGGGGGCTTCACAGAGCTGCTCCTCTGGGCCATGCCAGGCTGCAGGGACCGCTGCGTGTTCTCCCCGGAAGCAGCCCCAGGGGGGACAGAGAGAGAGCTTTAAGAGAAAATGTGTTTGACAAGTGGCCCACACGCTGGCGGAAGCCGAGGAGTCCCATTGGCCACCTGCAGGCCGGAGACCAGGTACTGATGGGGCAGGAGAAGGACGCCTCGGCTCAGGAGGCCAAGGACACACTGCACACCAGCCACCAGAGGTGGCGGCTCTCCCTCACCCAGTCGGCGACCCTGGCTGACCGCCTGGGCCTGAGACTTTCTGAAGGCAGGGACCCTTCACCCTGGGGATGCAGGAGCAGACAAGGGAAGAAGAGAGGCCCAGACAAAGGAGACAGTGTGTAAGAAACCCAAAGCCAAGATGGGGAATGCCACGTCCCCAGCAGAAAGACACAGAAACAGCGGCGGCCACCAAGATGCCAGTTATCCCAGCAACTCAGGAGGCTGAGATAGGAGGATCTCAAGGTCAAGGCCAGCCTCAGTAACTTAGAGAGGCCCTGTCTCAAAATTAAAAGTGAAAAGGGCTGGGGATGTGGCTCAGTGGGACAGCTCCCCTGGGTTCAGTCCCTAGTATCAGAGAGAGAAACGGAACCTGGGCCAGGCCACCGGACTCATCACAGAACCCCAGGACCCTCCCCACACCCTCTCCCCCCTCTCCTCAGCCTGGCTCTTCCCTCTCCTCTGGGTGGCATTTCTGTTAGCCACTGTCCACTCTGCCCAAGGAGGTCAGGGTTGAGATTAAAGGAGGCTGTGACAAACTTCTGATCAGCGCGGAGATCTCATTGGGTTTGGGGCTTCGTCTACAGGAGGGGCTCAGCCTGGAAGCCCTGTCAAGAACCCTCCAGAAGGAAGATCCAGGTCCGTCCCAGAGCAGGCTGGGGGTGTGTGCAGGCTAAGCCTGCAGCTGAGGTCACGCTCCGTCTGGGCCAGGTTTGGGTCTTGTCCTGAATCAGGGTTCGGCTTGCCCAAGCTCAGGGTGTGAATGGGCGCCTGAGAGAGGATGGGGCACTGCCAGGCTCTGGCTCTCCTGGGCAGGGTCCCGCTGCTCAGGCCTGGGCTCGGAGTGAGACAGAAGCCCTGTGAGGACAAAGGCAGGACCACCCTCAGCCCCAGCAGACATTCCAGCCCTGCCGTGGTGCTGTGCTCTGACCTAACTGTCCCCTCCCGTGACCACCACACACATGCAGGCACACGGAGATCTGGGCACGAGGCGCCTGGGCACACTGGCACTGCGGGCGGCTGGTGTCTGCAGGCCCATCCTGCGCGGATCAGATGGGCCGCAGGGAGCTCCCTGTTCCCCTCAGGCAGCAACCAAGATGGGTGCCAAGAGGGTAGGTGGCTCTGGCTGCCACTCACTAGCCACTGTGAGCCCAAGAGCCCCAGGCCAGGGTCTTCAGAGGTCTGGACCTCTGCCAAACCTGTCTCCATCACCCACCACCAAGCCCCTGGGACTGGCACCGCCCAGTCCTCCAGAAGGACCACGACCAGAGGTGGAGGAAGCCCTGGCTGGAGGCCGGGTCTGGGAGCCTTGCTTCCTCTCTCGGGGCCATTTGAAAAAATCAGAATAAAATAAGAAGGATGGGATTTGACCATTGAGAAAACTGACAGAGAGGACAGAGGCTGAGCAGGGTCACACACAGGACCAGAGCCCCGTCCTGCTGACACCAGTGCTCTTAGTTCTCTTGCCAGTTGGGGCTCATTTGTCTCAGAGGCTGAGCTGTGCACACCTAGGCAGGCTTCCAGGAGAAGGTGGCAGAAGAGGCAGGACAGACAGCCCTCTTCCATCAGGTCCTCTGGGATCATGGAGCCCAGGAGCGTTGCCAGGCAATCCTGTGCTGGTAAAGCTCTAGCTCTGGGCCCAGATTCAAATCTCAGCTTCAAATCTACACCTGCTCTGTGACCTCAGGTAGGTTGCTTCACCTCTCTGAGCAAGATGCAAATGTCCAACTGCAAAAGGGAGATAATCAAGGTAATTATCTCTTAGGTGACCTTTAGGCCCAGCCCAGCCTGTCTCCCACCTCCCTCCCCTCGGTCTCCCTGCCTTTCTTTCTGCTTCCCCCACAGTCACACTCCTTCTGCTTCAGGGCTTGGGGACATGCTGTTCTCTCTGGTCTTCCCCACAAACTCACTTCCTCAGGGCATCGCAGATGCAACCAGGCCATTCTCCCTACCTTCCTTTGTGGCGCCTGCTAAGACGGGGGACTGAGATCGCGTGTGGACAGGGTATTGGAGGGAGCTTTTCCGTTTGTCTCAAGTTGACAACTAGGGGGCAGAGCTGGGGTGAAAAACTGCCAAGGGCCCCAAACTCTGAAAATAGGTCCCAACAGCTGGGGCCAGATGTTCCCGACCCTCCCGCCCTCCACTCCAGGAGTTTGGGGTCCTCAGGAGTGAGAAGCTGTGGATCTTCTCTCCCCTCCTCCCCAGGCCCCTCCCAGCCAGCCCAGTGGCAGCGGCCCCAGAAGACCTGGTGTTATTTTGGAGGTGGAAGGACCCGCGGGAGGGGAAGCTGGGGGATGGACCACAGAGGGGCTCAGCGGCACTGCGGGGGGCTAAGCTGCCTGTTCATCTCGTGGAACAGGGGGGTGAAGTACTGACACAGGCACAAGGTCAGCCTTGAAAACATCACGCTAAGGGGAAGCGAGTCCCCAAAGACCAGGTGCTGTGTGAGCCCACCTACCTGCCTCCATCCGGACAGGCCACGGGAAGGGGCTGTGGGGAGGGCGGTGTCAGGGTTCTCAGGGTTCCTGGAGGATGGGGAACACACAGTAGGAACACCAGGAAGACAGAGAGAAAGGAACAGAGTGGTACTATGAGCCATGATACCTGAGAATCCCCCACAGTAACCAGGCACTAAACCATGGACCCAGGAATCTCAGAGTAACAACAAGAGGATGAATCATTTAAAAAATCAAACCCCGAAAAACTACAGCTAGGCATATTAGTTTCATACTACGGAAAATCAAAGATAAAGAAAAAAAATTCCCAAAAGAAGCCAGAAGAAAAAAGGCCTTACCTATCACACAGCGAAATCATCACATCTGACTTCCCAGAAACCGCGCAGGCAAAAAGAGAGCGCCATGGGATTAGGTGTTGAGAGACAGACCCCCTCCAGCCTGGAATCCTGCACCCTGCCAGACGAGCCTCCAAAATCGAACCACCTGTCATTCCAGGGACAAACTGATATAGGCTCATTATACAGGCTGAGGCAGAGGGATCACAAGTTCAAGGTCAGCTTCAGCACTTAGTGAGACTCTGTTTGAAAATATAAAATAAAAAAGGCCAGGGAGGTGGTAGGGTACCCCCGAGTTCACACCCCAGTGCCATACACACTCACCAAAAAAAAAAAAAAAAAAAAAGAAGAGGGAGAGAAAAGAGAGAATTATTTTTCTCCAACAAACAAAAGTTGAGGGAATTTCTTACAAGTAAACCTGCCTTGCAGGAAATGTTAAGTCCACGGAGAGAAGGGAAATGATGCGGAACAGAAACTCCGACCTATGTGGAGACAGGGAGAACAGGAAGAGGAAATGAAACTCTTCTTTTTCTCATGGATGGGGAGTGATGACATGCTCTAAGACTGTTACAAACTCTTCACACACAGGGGAGGTGTGGATTCGGTTTGGGAAGATGAAGTGTTCTGGGGAGGATGGGCAGGGCTGAGGGCCGTCGGGCAGGGTGTGGGCACTCCCTGCCGCTGAACCCTACACTTAAAATGCTTAGGACGGTAGATCTCATGTGGGTGTAAATTCTACCATAATTTTAAAAAAACAAATTCTAAAATACAGGGGGAAAAGTATTCCAGAACCAAACCGGACTCCCCAGATTTTTGAAGTCAGGAGACCAAGGAAGCCTCAGCCTTAGTAAATGTCTGAGGAAGGAATGGAGACCCTCCCCCACTGGACGGAGAAGGAAACAGCCCAGGGAAGTCAGGGCAGGCCAGGGGGAGGCCCAAACAGAAGAGCCATGCCCCTCCCGTGGGGTGGGGCTGGATCTCAGCAGGACCCCTGCCCCAGCTGGGAACATCTGGCAGCCTCAGGGATGAGGCAATGCCAGGAACTTGGCCAAGGACGGGACAGCTGGAGGCACTTCCAAGGGACACAGTTGGCAGCCCAGGGCTGCGCCTGGCCTCCGGGCTGCTCCCTCTTGCCTGGCCCTAGGAGCTGCCTTCCCAGGGCAACACCCTCACTCCAAATCCTCCCGGCTGGGAGGCGGAGGCTGTCCTGGTCTACTCCCTGGGAGGATGACCTCAGCTGGCCCCTACCCTTCTCTAGGTCGTGTTCGGGGATAATCCAGTTTCATCCAGCCCTGCCCTTCAAATCTGACCCTGGAGCACTCAGTCCTGCCTGCAGGTGCCCCTAGTCTGGGGAGGACACGGCCCTGCACACTGGAGCTTCCGGTTCTCTTGGAGGTGTGACTCGGCCCTGAGAAACCTCCAGTCCAGGAGGGAGATGACCCCTCTGATGGGGAAGACACTTAATTAAGACAGCCACCCGCATAGACGCCTGGGCCTTGGCTGGCTCTCAGATGCCCTCCCCTCTTCCCAGTTGTGGGGCATGTGGTTCACACACCTCCCCCTCTCTCCCTCTCCCTCTCTCTCTCCCTCCCTCTCTCTGAACTCTGTGGGCCCCACCTGGGCTGCTGGCCACAGCCAGCATCGTGACAGACTGCCCACGCCAAGGCTGGACAGAACACACACATTCACCACACACCACTTGCTTTGGGTGAGAAGCTCTGGCCTGGTTGTGGCTGCTACATCCCCAGGATGGCAGCCCCTTGGCCCAGGACCTGAGCCAGAAGACCCCAGCAGCACTGCAGAATTAGGGAGTCCTCAGAATGGACAGCCCTGGTGCCCCTGCTGGGTCCCAAACACCGAGGTTGGCCCAGAGCTGGGATGACCCCATCAGAAGCCACGGAGCCCCCAGGCACAACAGTATCAGCCTGGTTCTCACGGTACCCCCAAAGTCTGAAGTAATTACTAACAAAGAAACAACCCATTTTCCATCCATGAAACAGGGTCCAGCGAGTAACGCTCTCAGACGTTGGAGAGACGAAACTGCAACGATGCAGTCAGAACGCTAGCATGGTGTCCAGCCAGGCCCCGCCTCTGCGGGGTTTGTGTTTTCTGCATACCACCCAAACCCCTTTCTTATGTGGGCGTGGGGAGGCGGTTCTGTCCTCCTAACTCGGAAGCTGACACTCGTCCCCATCTGGCAGGAGTGGGCCTGCCCCCTGCTTTGAAGGTGGGGAATAGAAAAGTCCCGAAGAGGACAGGGATTATTCGTGGGAGGCAGTGGCAGCCCTGGAGCCAGGATGTCCAGTGTTGGTGGCCCTGGCCACAGAACCAGATGTTTTCTGAAGGGGCACTTTGCCTGTGTCCTGAGCCACCCACTTCCCAAACATCTGCACTCTCTGAGCCCATCTCTCCAACAGGTCCCAGGAGCAGCCTGGTTTCCTTCTAGTAAATTCCTGTTCTGCTTAAATTAGTGGGAAGCAGAGTCCACT